AAAAGACGAGCCACGAGCAGGCTCGCCGAGCGGCTCGCCTTGGGCGAGCTTGAGCACGAGCCGAGCTCGCCCAAAATCCAACGAGCCACGAGCTCGGCTCGTGCGAGCTCGTGTGGGTATGAGTCGAGCCGAGCCGAGCCATTGACATCCCTAGGGTTGAGGTATATACCCATGTTTGGTTTCCATTTTTAAAACTCATTTTTGTAAACTTATTTTCGATCACATATTTTATGGAATTTACAATTTTTCTTATTTTACAATCATATATTTCATTAATTTTTATCAAAATCTACTGAAAATTTAATTTATCAGAGCCAAACAAGGCTTGAGTGTAAGAAAAAAATCGTAATATTAGTTTCAAATCACTATTACATATAATGTTAATTAATAATTGTATTTTATACATTTATTTAGAAAAAATAATAAGGGTTTTTGGATTGTGTTTTGAATTAATTAGTTTTAGTTGTTGTAGGCTAATTGGCGAAATCATTGAATTTGAGTGCATTGGAATAAGAAGTTGAAAAAGAACGTTGAAGTTAGGAGTAAATACACAAAAATAGTACTTCATCTATCCCATAAAAATAGACCCGTCTTCCCTTTTTATTTATCCAAAATTATAGGTCTCGAGTAAAATTAACTTCCTAATTTTCTAGCATGTCCCTATTTAATATGCCTTGTTATTAACTTCCATTACTCATTGTAAGGGTGTATTAGGAAAAATGTGAGCAAAATTCATATTTTCAACTATATTAATCAAGTTTTTTTAATCGGAGTGAAATTGAAAGTAAGTCCATCTTTGTGGAAAATTGAAAGTACAACTGACATCTAGCTTGATGAAGAAAATCATTGCACTTCAAACACAATTTCATTATCTTTAACAACAAAGAAAATTGGAGACTAGTGGAATGATAATGACCACACTTAATTTCTCAATACAAATATGCCATATTTGTTTAACAATGGGTGCATACCCTGAACAGTGAGTACGACATTTAACTTGTCGATAATGGCAGAAGTTAACTTCAGATTCTATATATTATGCACTGGTATTTAATCATTTGCAAGCTCAATGGTGATTGGGGAGGTATAGTTTCCCGATGAATCAAGAACAAAGTCATCGTTAATTTTGCTAATAAGGAAATTCAAGAAAACTTCGAATCTAGAACAAGATAGCTTTTTGATTAAATGGACAAAAATCACTGCATTGGAGGAGAGAAATGAAACTCCAATAATGAATAATAATAATCAAAAAAATCAACAATATCCAGTAAAAACTTGAAGATCACTCGACCGGACCACTCCTCCCTCCGCCCCTTCAAAGAAGCATCTCCTACTTTGAATTTTGGAGAATAGCTCGAACGTCAAGAAGACAATGGAAATACTTGGAGTTCACTATAAGATTCAACAATACATTTCTTCTTTTATTTTTTTTCCTTAAATTTGGGTAATGTCAATTATAACTATATTTGTCCATGTTTGTACATAAGCTAAATTTCATATCTAGGGCATTAATGTAAACTTGTTAAGATGTTATAATTTTAATTATCAAGTTTTGACTTGAAGTATGTTCATTCATCTAAAATTCGAATTGAAGGACGTAAAAAAATAGGACTTGTCAAATTTTTCAGATGAAAAATGTTACGCCTCATTTTACGAGACTTCGCTATTATCCATATGATAGCCAACTAGAAAAACAGCCAAAAATTACGGAAGGCCTGCAAAGGAAGTTGAAGTGATGCAATCACCTTAGTCGAAGTGGCATATAGAGTTTGAACCTCCATGACCGAAGCGAGGTGTCACGATTTGTTGTTGCCTATTTCTGAAGTGACAGACCTTTGTTCCACAACGCCTCTTCCATAGTTCTGTCTCATCCAAGAGATTTTCAGTACGATTGGATGATTTAACATATCCACAACAGAAGCCCTCAGTCAACTTGTACTTTTCAGATGTCAAGCTAAGGTTGTAGGGTGACTACTTTTCATAATCATTTAATGCTATTTCAGCCTACGAGGACATCGGGTCGGTCATTAAGATAAGACTACGTGTCATCCATTCGACTGAACTTCTTCACCTCTTTTACTTTAAAAAATCACACTTAATGTCATTGACAAGTAATGCAATTTTATACACTTAATAGTAAATTTGCTCGACATTTTCCTTGACCCGATTATCATACACGCTTTTGTGGCTCTCGTTCATTGTTTATCCCACACTAAAATATATCTATAATCGACTAGTTTGATCATCGAAGTGATCGCGGCATCCTCCTCCACCGCCACATAATCCTTACATGCAGAGGAAAGTGGAGTCAAATCTGTTGCCCATGCTATCCAATCGAAAACCAAAATCATCACAAACAAAAACTCTCGTTCAAATCTATCACGCAAATACAACAAAACTAGTCCTGATTAAAAATGATTCCATAACTATGGTGGGTAGAATAAGGAGTGTGCTATTCGTCACCAAGTGAAAAACAGGTTTACGTGGAAAGCACTATTTAATCAATAAAAAGTCATAAATATTCTTCCTCTATTCTTTTAGTTAAATCAAGGTTTTCTATCCCTAATATAGGATAATTTTGGTTTATTTCTCCTGATAAATTAAAAAGTCAATTATACTCGTATTTA